ATGGGGCCTATGCTTGGGGAGGATGTTGCCTTCCGTTGGTGACTGTTGGGCGCGACCAGCAGCCAATGAGCCAGCCGGGGGGGCGTAGCGGTGACGTTAGCTGCGGAGGAGGCCGCTTCGAATCGGCTGCGGCCAGCTTGGTGGCCTGGACCAATCAGCGGCCTCCAACGAGCAGGGCCTTCGCCAATCGGTGGCCTCCACGACGGGGCTGGGGGGAGGGTATATAAGCGGCGTCGGCGACGGCGCGGTCGACGCTGGCCGAGACATCACAGATTCAACGGCTTGGGAGGTTTCTTGAATCTGAGAGGTAAGCGCCGCGGCCTGCCTTTCCGGACCTGCCCTTCGCGTTTCCAGCTGCCCCTGCTCACCCCGGGCCCTGTACCCTCAGATCAGTAACCTCGGTGCGCCCCCGTGCAGCGGCCTGTCGTTGGATTGTCTCTGAGGTCCTGCCTGCCTGCTGACCGACTGACTGGCCTACGGCGCCGGCAAGATGAAGCTGTCCCTGGTGGCTGCGGTGCTTCTGTTGCTCGGCGCGGCGCGGGCCGAGGAGGAGGACAAGAAGGAAGACGTGGGCACGGTGGTCGGCATCGACCTGGGGACCACCTACTCCTGGTAATTGGGGTTTGTGGAAAGGGGGGAATGGGGCGTGGTCTCCTGGGCTGCTGTGAGAATCGCAGTGCTGATTCTTTCCGTTCTTGGTGATTTTTCCGCCAGCGTCGGGGTGTTCAAGAACGGCCGCGTGGAGATCATCGCCAACGATCAGGGCAATCGCATCACGCCGTCTTATGTGGCCTTCACTCCTGAAGGGGAGCGTCTGATCGGCGATGCAGCCAAGAACCAGCTCACCTCCAACCCTGAGAACACGGTCTTCGACGCCAAGAGGCTCATCGGCCGCACATGGAACGACCCATCTGTGCAGCAGGACATCAAGTTCTTGCCTTTCAAGGTCCGACGGGGTTTTTGTCACCCGGATAGAAAGTGGGTGGTGGTGGGAGTATTTAGGATTAATAAGCTACTGAAAAATTGTTGAGATAACAAAAAGGATGCGAACATGGTGTATATGTAATAATTTTTATTGAGTAATCTTAGTATGTTACAAAATTTAGTAAAGTAAGCTTGGCGTACTTTACTGTCACACGTAACTATTTGTCTACATCGTTTAGTATTGATAGAAACTGAATATGCTTGCCTTCGTAAGGCACTCCTCATGCTCCTTAAGTGTTGCTGGTCACTGTTTAGCTCCAAGCAACCAAAGTAAACCAAATAATGGGGGAGGAAGTGGGCCTCAGACCATCCTCTTTATTTAGAGTTTTGAATGTTCTTCTGTCTGAAAATAATAATTCATTCTTTAAAATAGGTGGTTGAAAAGAAAACTAAACCATATATTCAAGTTGATATTGGAGGTGGGCAGACAAAGACATTTGCTCCTGAAGAAATTTCTGCCATGGTTCTCACTAAAATGAAGGAAACTGCTGAGGCTTATTTGGGAAAGAAGGTAAATATTTCTAGAACAGTGTTAAGTAATTTTGTTTTTACTATTGATTGTGTTGCGTAGATGCCTTCATTGGTTTAATAATTAGAATCTGAATATCTGTGTATTTCAGTTTTAGTTGTTTGTATGTCTTACTGTAGGCCAAACAAAATACTAGGCACTTTTCACGTGTTATCACTTAATGCTTGCAAATCCGTGGTATGAGATGATGTATGTTGTATCTAACAAACTGTGTTAGAAACTAAAGCAAAGGTTTGAGTGCAACATATATAAGAGTTAAACGATGTGATAAAATACACTTAATTATCTTTTGTTATTCTCTTAGGTTACCCATGCAGTTGTTACTGTACCAGCCTATTTCAATGATGCCCAACGCCAGGCAACCAAAGATGCTGGAACTATTGCTGGATTGAATGTTATGAGAATCATCAATGAGCCGTAAGTGTTAAACTCAGAAGTATGGTGTATTTGCCAAATAGGGATAATGTAAATTTAACTAAACTTTTTTTTTTTTTCCTTCTTTTTCATTCTCTTAATAGTACAGCAGCTGCTATTGCTTATGGCTTGGATAAAAGGGAAGGGGAAAAGAACATCCTGGTGTTTGACCTCGGTGGTGGAACTTTTGATGTGTCACTCCTCACCATTGATAATGGTGTCTTCGAAGTTGTGGCTACTAATGGAGACACTCATCTGGGTGGAGAAGACTTTGACCAACGTGTCATGGAACACTTCATCAAGCTCTACAAAAAGAAGACAGGCAAAGATGTCAGGAAAGACAACAGAGCTGTGCAGAAACTCCGACGTGAGGTAGAAAAGGCCAAACGGGCCCTGTCTTCTCAACATCAAGCAAGAATTGAAATTGAGTCTTTCTATGAAGGAGAAGACTTCTCTGAGACTCTGACCCGGGCCAAATTTGAAGAGCTAAACATGGTATGTTCCTTGTTTTTTGCTTTGCTAACGAGATTTAGTTAGACTCTGTTGGGGACACTGCATTTAGCTATTTAGACAGTATCTAGGTATAATAGGCATCATCACAGTAATTGTTTCCTATTCTAGGACCTGTTCCGTTCTACCATGAAGCCTGTCCAGAAGGTGCTGGAGGATTCTGACTTAAAGAAGTCTGATATTGATGAAATTGTTCTTGTTGGTGGCTCTACTCGAATCCCGAAGATTCAACAACTGGTTAAAGAATTTTTCAATGGCAAGGAGCCATCCCGTGGCATAAACCCAGATGAGGCCGTAGCATATGGTGCTGCTGTCCAGGCTGGGGTACTCTCTGGTGATCAAGATACAGGTAAGTCAGTGTCACAGCATCTTGCACAGTATTTCAATAGCTTGATAGAAAGAGTATAATTAGTTAATGCTTTAGAAAGCAAGAGAGTATGTATAACAAGGTCATACAGCTGGTAAAGGGTAAAGTGAGGACAAGACCTGGCTCAGTTTCAAGATCCTTAGCAATTACATTTAATTTACTGCTTCCGAAATGATTTTGCATACAACCTCTCATTAAGTGGCAAGATGGAGAAGATAAAGTTACATAGTTCATGGGGAGACTGCTTGGTAGTGCCTCTGTGACTCAAATTAGAACTTAACCTTGGTTAATTTACCTTTGCAGGTGATCTGGTACTGCTTGATGTATGTCCCCTCACACTTGGTATTGAAACTGTGGGAGGTGTCATGACCAAACTGATTCCAAGGAACACCGTGGTGCCCACCAAGAAGTCTCAGATCTTTTCTACGGCTTCCGATAATCAACCCACTGTTACAATCAAGGTTTATGAAGGTAATGCTCTATCTTTGTTAATGACATGGTATGTTTGTGGAAAGTGACCTCTTAATATATTGTATTGAAAACAGAAGGGAAAGAAAGAATCTGCTGGTTTCAGACAGGGGTCCCTAATTTAACTGGTACTGAGTTTGGTAGAGTCAGTCCTAAAATAATACTTATCATCTAGCTGTCTAGCATTCTTTGCCATTAGAAGTAACTTCTGAGCTGGCTCCTCGAATACCATAAGAATAGAGTTCATAATGCTGTAGATGAAATTCAATTAAAAGTTAGTAGTAATGTAACAGTTGGGCCCACTTGAAATTCCTTGTAGAGCAATACTGACTGACCCCCTTCTAGCTTGATAAACACGCCCTTGCCACCGTAGGCTCTAACAGTGTAAGGATCCAGATAAGACTAATGTTGTTGTTCCTAACAAGTTTTTTGTGTGTGTGTATACCTTCTAGGTGAACGACCCCTGACCAAAGACAATCACCTTCTGGGAACTTTTGATCTGACTGGAATTCCTCCTGCTCCCCGTGGGGTCCCACAGATTGAAGTCACCTTTGAAATCGATGTGAATGGCATTCTTAGAGTGACAGCTGAAGACAAAGGTACAGGCAACAAAAATAAGATCACAATTACCAATGACCAAAATCGCCTGACACCTGAAGAAATTGAAAGGATGGTTAATGATGCTGAGAAGTTTGCCGAGGAAGACAAAAAGCTCAAGGAGCGCATTGATACTAGAAATGAATTGGAAAGCTATGCCTACTCTTTAAAGAATCAAATTGGAGATAAAGAAAAGCTGGGAGGTAAACTCTCCTCCGAAGACAAGGAAACCATGGAAAAAGCCGTAGAGGAAAAGATTGAATGGCTAGAAAGTCACCAAGACGCTGACATTGAAGATTTCAAAGCTAAAAAGAAGGAACTAGAAGAAATTGTTCAGCCAATTATCAGCAAACTCTATGGAAGTGCAGGCCCTCCCCCAACTGGTGATGAGGAACCAGCAGATAAAGATGAGTTGTAGACATTGCTCTGCTAGTGCTGTAATATTGTAAATACTGGACTCAGGAACTTTCGTTAGGAGAAAATTGAGAGAACTTAAGTCTCGAATGTAATTGGAATCTTCACCTTGGAGTGGAGTTGAAAATGCTATAGCCCAAGTGGCTGTTTACTGCTTTTCATTAGCAGTTGCTCACATGTCTTGGGGGGTGGGGGGGGGGGAGGAAGAATTAATTGGCTATCTTAAAAAGTGGGTAAAAAAGCTGAGTTAGGGCGTGTGTTCATCTTGGAAATGTTCTATTTAACAATTGGGTCATGCGCATCTGGTGTAGGAACTTTTTCTACCATAAGTGACACCAATAAATGTTTGTTATTTACACTGGTCTAATTTTTGTGATAAGCTTCTAATTAAGTCAGTTGCTTCAAGGTCACATTCTTACTTGGTGGGGTTTTGAGGTAAAGAAACCTTTTTATTTAGTTGTTTCAGGGATCTTCCCCTAACGTTAATTTAAGAAAGGGGTGGGAAAGGTAAGAAACATTCTTACCTAGGCAAGAGTCTTCACATGCCCAAGAGCAGAATTTTCTTGAACATAGTCGAAATTTCCAATTTCCCCTTACCTTTAAAACTTTCTGGGGGCTTTTTATTACTAATAATGCTTTGTAGCTGCTAGAATTCGTTGAGACTTGCTATGAGTGATGGATCACTGATGTTAACTTTATACACTGAGATTCAGTTCATAATTTTAGGATATAAAGTATTTTATTTTTTATAAAAGTATATTTTAAACTCCCACTATGTCAGAATCTTCATCTCTGAAATTTCTTACTAGTTGTCTGGAGTGGGGTCTAGGATGGTGAGAAATTACTTTAAGCCCTATTACAACTGTGGATCAAAGGTAGTCATTTGTATCAAGGGAGGTTCAAGATTACTTGGATTGGCTTCCTGAGGGAAAAGGATGATCTAGATAAATGATTTTACATGATCGAAAAGGGCAGGCTCTCTGGTGCTGATATGAAACTCAATACTGCCCAAGGATAGATATTTTATGGGGTGGGCAATGGGCTAAAAGGTTAATTTTCTAACGTGTCAGAACTGGAACCTGATGGCATGACTTTTTAGTTGGAGGCCCACACTTCTGCAGTGCCCCAGAAGCATTTGGACAAGCATGGAGTATAATACCAAGGGTGTTCAGGCCAAGTTCAATACAATGGTTAAAAGTGACCTGCAGTGCTGTATGTTGTAGGGTTAGCAGGTGGTTAGGAAAGACAAGGGCCAGTCTTCATCCCTGTCCCCAGTGGCTCTCACATGCCAACAGGCTGCACCTCTTTGTGGAGAGCAGCTACTAGATGAATACTAGAAAGATAGGCTTCAACTTGTAAATGTCCACACTATGGTTTCTACAACTTAATTCTCCAACATTTTTGTGATCAGTATCTTGACCAATCACACTTACCACCTAGGTTGTATTGCTGGTAAAACCCTTTATATAATAGAGGTTTTTGCACTGGGCTATCCATTTCTTCGCCTCCCAAATTAGGTAAGAGTTAGAGGGATATATAGTGCAGAAACTATTTTGGAGGTATAAAATAGCTAAGGTTTCATTTAACTTTTCCCTGAAAAGTTGTCATTTAATAAAAATGTGGGATTAGTCAACTACAGTCACAATACAGTCACTATAGATTTCCCCTTCTGTATTCATCCCGCCGAACACAAAACAAAGCAGTGTGTCAGTCTGACTTTCCTCGTGTGAGTCACCACCTTGGGTCACTCCTTTGCTGGCAGAATCCCCTTTCTCAGCATCACAGTTCAGAGTGAGAGAATTGGAATCTTCTTCCTCAGAAGTACACATCACTGGCCATGGAATGACACACATGGAATGATCCAATCGTCCAGGGGGGAGAGAAGTATCAAATTTAAGCAAGGTCCAATGCTGCTTTTCTGTGTTAGAAAAAACAATATACACAAAGGCTCTGCGTCAAAAAATTTCCAGAAATGCTCAGTGATTTGCTGTTATCACTAAGTACTAGCAGAAATAAGAAATAAAAGGAAAAAAAAAAGCTATTGGCAGTGTTACTGCTTTCATGACGTCATTCCCTATAAGTCTGGTTTTCATTCCTTTGGGTTATTATTTTTGACAGAGCGGGGGAGAGTGTGTGCATGTGTGCAGGGGAGGGGCAGAGGGAGAATTATTTTTAAGTTTTGGGTTTTTTTTTTTTATTTTTTATTTACTTTGAGAGAGACTGCAAGCAGGGGAAGGGCAGAGGGAGAGAGGAAGAATCTCAAGCAGGCTCTGTGCTGTCTGTGCAGAGCCTGACACGGGGCTCAAACTCGTGAAACTTTGAGATCATGACCAGAGCCAAAATCAAGAGTCAGACACTTAACCCACTGAGCCACCCAGGCACCCCCGATTCCTTTAGATTTAGATGCGGAGGGACCAAAATGAAAAACTAAAGCGCTGTGATACTTTTCAAAGAATGGTCACATTAGTTTAAAGATCCACAGTGAACACCTGCTCACCTATGTGATACCGATGCATTGTGTCCAGTGCTCCTGTGGGAGTCATCCCTCCAAAGATGTACAGGTGTTTCCCCACAGCCACAGCTGAGTGGGCAGCACAGGCTGCGGGAGATGCCCCTGTGGGACTTAGCTGCTGCCATTTCATCTCATCTGCCAAGAGAAAGAAAGTGGGTACAACATGGCCTAGAATATGGATTCAACCTTACTTGTCAGACTTTTGTAGTTTGCAAACCAATCACTGAAGCTCATTCACCAAGCACTCTGAGAAGTATTACAAGGTTTATTACTTGGGGGAGCTTGAGATTCTGTTTGGGTGGTCCGGGGAGGGAGGAGAGGCTCCGGAATCTGTAGTTTTAACAAGCACCTCAGGTAATTCTGAGGTAAGTGGTCTTTGGAGCCCACTGAGTGATACTGTCTTTGGTGACTCACCATTTACTATTTTGGAGCCCACAGGAGGGGAGTTCCATGTCTGCGCATGTGCATTTTAAATGTTGGCAGTTCCTTAGCAACTCTGTGAGTGCTGGCTAGACACTAAATATTTTGCTCGCTTAATTCTCCTAACAGCCCCATGAAACTGCTATTACTTCTGTCTACCCTCGTTCTTACATTTGAGGAAATGGAATTAAAGAGGGCGAGGCTTGTCCGAGATCCCACAGCTAGCAAGCAGCACAGCTATGATACTCAGGTCTGACTCTAGAACCCGTGTTCTCTCCACCGTAATGTGCTGCCTCCAACACCTACTCCCAACCTCTTTGTGCAAGGATATTTGTGTCTTTTCAAACAAGCATTGAAATGAGGCAACATATTATTGGATTTTAGGTTTAGAGAATTACTAGAGTAGGAAAGGAAGAGAAATTAACCAGGAAGTAGCTCCTCAGCACAAGGAAATAGGACTTTTTTTTTTTTTTTTTAAGTTTATTTTGGAAAAGAGAGTGCAGGGGTGCACGAGTGCATGTGAGTAGGGGAGGTGCAGAGACAGAGGGAAATAGAGAAACCCAAGCAAGCATAGCGATTTGCTGTCCGCTGCGGGTTCGATCCCACGGGTTCAATTCCACGATCAGTGAGATCAAGACTTGAAATCCAGAGTTGGACCGCTTAACTGACTGAGCCACCCAGGCACCCCAGGACTTTCTTTTTTCTCAATAAGCATTACAACCCCAGCTGACCGCTGCAGGGAACACTTCCGTGAAGATGTTTTCCATTTGTCACTTCAAGGCAGGGGCCCAGCATCTCAGGGTTGGAAGGGAGAATCACTCAGCCGAGCCAAAACTCTAGCCAATATAAGAATCCCAGCCAGTGTCACTTGGCCTCAGATGTCACCAAGCCAGAGAACTCATTGTCGGGCAAGGCAGCCCAACACACTGAGCAGCAGTTCTCATGCCTTCTGCCCACAGCTCCAATTCTTATAGTCTAGGGCAATGCAGAACATGTTCATTTGCTTGTCTGTCCACCCAAGATACACACTCATCACCTGCAATCTGCCAGATACTGTGTTAAGTGCTGGAAACATACCGGGGAAACAGAAAAAGCCTCTGCCCTAAGAGAGCTCATCATCTAAAAGAATAACCCAGAATGAGTCCAGGATCTCTAAGACATGTCAGCCCTTCAGACGCTGAAAGACGATTCTCACATTCTCCCCAGCTTTCCTCTTCCAGGGGTTTTTAACCATTTAGCATGGCAATTCTGGTCCCCAACGCCCATACATACTCCGAGGACACACATATCCCTCATGGGCATAGGGTTAATGGCTAATGGCAGTCAGGGAATCCAGTCAGGGAACACAAAGCATAATGAGTTTTAATGAAAGAGCAAGGTTGTTGGAAACATAAGAGATAACTAATGGCTGGTACATAGCAAGTACTCAGAAAATTATTGCTTTTATTGGTATTATTATTTATTATTATTTAGGCCACATTTGCCAGAAATCTAGCCAAGATTCCACTGGCTGGCCAAATTACCCACACTTAAGAGCAAGGCTATATTCTATCAAAGTATATTTTATTTCATTTTAAGCAGATAACTGCCCATGCCCTCTACCCTACTTACTTATATCAATGCAGTGGAGATCATCATAGAATTTGTCCCCTGCCAAGCCTCCATGGATGAAGAGCTTTGTCTCTGCTGCCACCATCACATGACCATGCCGGGGGGATGGAGGTTTTCCAAGGGTCTCTGGCTGTGACCAGGTCAGAGTGTCTAGAAAAGTAGTCATTGGCATCAGATGAAAAAGCTATGAAGCCAGAACATGAGAAATACACCCAAGCTTCACTCCCCAGCAAGCAGAGACGCTGAAAGCAAAAAGTGACCTGGGGACATCCACTCCAACTTGCCAACTCAGTCCAGACCTCCTTCCTTCTACGACCTGTAGAGCCTCTGCTTGGACACTTTCAGGGCTGGAGAATTCACTACCTACCACGCCTGCCCATTCTACTGGGCTTTAGGAAACCATTCCTCGCTTTGAATTTAAAAAGACCTCCTTTAAGCTTCAACCTGGAACTGCAGCAAAATTAAAAAGAATAGTCTGCTTCTTCTGTGACAGGCCTCAGAGTCTTTTTTTTTTTTTTTTCCAAGACAATACCCTTAATTGACTTGCTGGAAGCATGGGAAAATAAGGCTACTTTTGAAGTTAGCAGGGCCTGCTGGAGCAGCAGTATAGGATAACAGACCAGGGAAGTTGGAGTGAAAACTGGGTCATTTCACTGAATAACTTCGTGGCCTTGCACCAGTTAATTCTCTAAGCTCTAGCCTCTACAGTTGTAAAATGCGGATAGAGATAATACCTCCTTCTCAGGGTTGAAGTATGCATCAAGTGAGATAAGCACAGAGAAAGTATTCAATACGTGAGAGTTTGTGTGAGAATTACTGTTTGTGGTATGCCTGAAGGTTGTGCACGGAGCCCCACCATTCAAAGGAATACAATCCGAAATAATCTGGAAAAGGTTTATGCATAAACACGTTCATCACGGCATTGTTTGTAATAAAGAATGGAAAATAGCTTAAGTGCACAGACAAGTGAATAGTTGTTATTGCTACAGTCATGACAGAATACTGTGCATTTATTTAAAATGTTGAAGAGTGGAGGGGTCCCTGGGTGGCTCAGCCGGTTGAGCTTCTGGCTCTTGATTTCCTCTCAGGTCATGTTCTCACAGGTTTGGGAGTTTGAGCCCCATGTCAGGCTCTGTGCTGGTAGTGCAGAGCCTGCTTGGGATTCTCTCTCTCTCTCCCCTCCCCCACTCACCATCTTTCTCCCTCTATCTCTCTCTCAAATAAATAAATAAACTTAAAAAAAAAAAAGCAAAAAAAAAAAATGTCGAAGATTGGGGCGTCTGGCTGGCTCCGTTGGTAGAGCATGTGACTCTTAATCTCAGGGTCATGAGTTCAAGCCCCATGTTGGGTGTGGAGCCTACTTAAAATAAACAAACAAACAAATAAATAAATAAAATTGTTGAAGACTTCATGATCACAGGAGAACTGTGCTTAAGTGAAAAATACAAGACACAAATATTACATATGAAATTATTTCTGCTTTTTTAAATTTTTATTTTTAAAAATATGTGTTAATGTTTACTTATTTTTGAGAGAGAGACAGAGCACGAGCAAGGGAGGGGCAGAGAGAGAGGGAGCCCCCAGAATTTGAAGCAGGCTCCAGGCTCCGAGCTGTCAGCACATAGCCCCATGTGGGACTCGAACCCACAAACTGTGAGATCATGACCGAACCAAAGTTGGGCTCTCAACCGACTGAACCACCCAGGCGCCCCTATTTCTGCTATTTTTTAAAAAAAATTTAATTAAGTAAGCTCTGCCCCCAATGTGAGGCTTGAACTCATGATCCTGAGATTAAGAGTCACTATGTTCTCACGGTTTGTGAGTTTAAGCCCCACATAAGGCTCTGTACTCACAAGTGTGGAACCTGCTTGAGATTCTCTCTCTCCCTCCCTTTTTGCCCCTGCCCTACTCTCGCTCTCTGAAAATAAATAAACTTACGAAACTTTTTTTGAAATAAAAAGTGCTTTGAAAGAATTGCAAACACCATTCTTTCTGGAAAGAGAAAAGTCATACTATACTCTGTCTCCAGTCTTTCAATTTCACTTTATAAGTTTGAAATTTTGCTTACTGCATCTTCTCAACAAAAGGCTACATCTCTCTTAAAAAACACACACGAAAACTACTTTTGTCACATGTTATTTATAAATCGCTATTCATAAATACCTACTAGTAAGCCAAAGAAATGCAAATAAATGTTCCTTATACAAAAATTTGACCAGAGGGCTCAAAATTCTAAATGTTTATATCATTTCACCCAGTAATTCCACTTCTCAGCATCTATTCCACATAAATGTTTGTAACACATACAAAAATTAATTTATGTTCACTGTGGCGCTGTCAGCAAAAAGTCAATCAGTAAGAAAATGACTGAATAAATAAGGAATACCCACAGGATATGCTCTGCAAGGAAACCGGTTGTGACTTAGAAGACATCCATGACGTATGATTAAATGAAGGGATGATAACACAGTTCATGTCCCTTAGGTGCCCCCGATATGCCAGGCACTGTGCTATGCACTGTATGACATTATCTTATTTAATCTTCCCAGTTCTTTTTAGTAGGGGCACTATTACCATTTCTATTTTACAGATCAACAAACCAAGACCTAGAAAGATTAACTAGTCACAAGTAATACAGGGGTGCCTGGGTGGCTCAGTCGATTAAACATCTGGCTCTTGATCTCAGCCCAGGTCTTGATCTCAGGGTTGTGAGTTCAAGTCCCGTGTTGGGCCCCATGTCGGGCTCAGCACTGGGCGTGAAGCCTACTTAAAAAAAAAAAAGCAATACAGAAAGTATGTGTCAGATCTGGTCCTGAGTCCAGGTTATGTGGCTACAAAGGGCATGTTTTCGATCACTAAGATTTAGCCTCACCCCTGCAAAAGTAAGCTATAGAACTGTATTTATTATCTGATTCCATGTATGTGTTTTAAAGTTCTTATGTAACTTCAAAATTCATAGAAATTTCATAAATGCATAAGAATGTCCGGAAGGAGACATTAGGAACTGCTAACAATGTTTACCTCTGTTTATGTAGTGGGAAGGAAAAGCTAAAGGGGAAACTCGTACTATTTTCTTTATAAATGATCACTTTATGTTAAAGTGATCATTTATACCTTTTTAAATGCAAATTTTGCTGTGGGAAGAAGATATTAGCTAAGGGATACACCAAAGACATCTAGAAGAGAGACACTCAGACAAAGTGTCATTTTCTAACCTCTTCTTCCTACACCAGGTAAGCTGTAGGCCAGGGTGGCTCAGACCTGGTAAGTGGCAACCCTGGGGTGCCCTCCAGTCCATACTTGCGTCAAACACATGCAGCTTCACATCCTGCACAGGCTGGGCGCCTCTCTCTCCGCCCCCAAAGACATACAGCTGGTTTCCAATGGCTGCAGATGATGTGTGGAATGTTCTTGGGCATGGCGGGGGGCTGGTCACCTCCGGCATGGTCCAAGTCCTGGTTTCTGGTTTAGAGAGAGAAGGCAGTCACCTAAAATATCCAGGCTGATGGGCCTCTCATCTTGACTCTGAGGCCAGGCAGGGTTACCTTTCATACCCCTATCCCCAAGGGGGACAGCAAAGGCCTAGGCAGGATTCTTGTGCCACCAAAGTCAAGGAGGGGTAGCGGGTGATACTTACAATTTTCCCAGATAGAGGCAAATCCCCAAGATTGAAAAAGTCACACATGCAATTAAGAATGAGGTCGATTTGATTTTGGAGGCCTTCCTTCAAACGTCCTCTCTGAACGTTCTTCTGCTTTGCTGACTACCCTGCCCTGTGCCCATTCGGAGGAGACCAACATCTGCTAAAATGCATACCCACTAGAGGTGAGAACTAAATGTGCCAAATTACTCCAGACTATGTGGCACTAAAAGAAAGTAGACAAAGTTATCACAGTTTCAGTAGTAATAATAATAGTTCCTTATAAATAATAAGTGCTAAGTAAATATTAGTTCTCCATTTTACAGATAAGAGAATTGAAGCAGAGACAGATGAAGTCATTTGTTTAAAATGACATGGCTAGGGGCACCTGGCTGGCTCAGTCAGTGGGGCGTGTGACTTTTGATTTTGGGGTAGTGAGTTTGAGCCCAACGTTGGGTGTAGAGATTTACTTAAAAAATAAAATCTTGGGGCGCCTGGGTGGCTCAGTTGGTTAAGGGTCCGACTTTGGCTCAGGTAGTGATCTCACGGTTCGTGGGTTTGAGCCCCGTGTTGGGCTCTGTGCTGACAGCTCGGAGCCTGCTTCAGATTCTGTGTCCCACTCTCTCTCTGCCCCTCCCTTCCTCATGCTCTGTCTCTCTCTCCCAAAAAGAAAATAAACAAAGGGGACAAAACAGAAGAGACTCATAAACATGGAGAACAAACTGAGGGTTGCTGGAGGGGTTGTGGGAGGGGGGATGGGCTAAATGGGTAAGGGGCATTAAGGAATCTACTCCTGAAATCATTGTTTCACTATATGCTAACTAGTTTGGATGTAAGTTTAAAAAAATAAAAAATTAAATTAAAAAAAATGATAAAATAAAATAAACATTGAAAATTTTTTTAAAAAAACAAATAAAAAATAAAATCTTAAAAAAAAATAAAGGGACATAGCTAATAAATGGCTGACTTGGGATTCAAATTCCATCTTGATAACACCAAGATCTAGGTGTTTTTCCACTCGTCTGACTTGAGAATAAAATTTCACTACCTTAGGAGGTGCACAGAAGCTTATTTCTTTTTAGAGTGAAGCATGAGTTTTATAGAAACAGATGCGTTACATTGAGTATCTTCCTTGTGCAGAATCATTGCCCTTAACCTTCTGTCTTGTCATTATCCACTCAACTCTAGCAGGTGGCTGGAAAGTATCCTCATTTTGCAGATGAGGGAACTGAAGCTCGGAACATTCAAGTTCTTTCCCCCAGGTCACAGTGCTTGTGAGTAGCAGAGCAGAGGTTTGAACTCAGTTCTGTCAAGACTCCCACACTCGTGCACTGCAACACACCAGGGATTATTTCTCATCTAGGAAATTCTGTGCCTTTTGTAAAGGTCTTCATTCAGCACACAGAGTACCACAGGAAGCATCTGGAATATGTATTGGACTCAAACATGAACCTTGAGATGAAACAAGTCTCAGCCTATATCTAAAGCAAAATGTCATTATCTCTATAGCTACAGACCTTGGAGAGCTTTTGGATCTTGGGGGTGGGGGGTTAGTAGATGCTCAACCTCCAGGACCAGAAGATCCTGGGACTGTGTTGCTGCCAAGTCAAACGCTGGCACAAATAATCACAAAGGACTCCTAAGCCATTTGGCGGACCAGCCTTAGTAACAAAACAGCTAATGATTCACTCACATTTTTCCTATATCTTGGGCATGGTGTCAAATTATACTATCTAGGAGAGAAAACGGATCTGGTAGAAAATCAATTCCTCTGACAGACGCTTTCCAAATTCTCTGTATTTTATTCAAATGGATGCCACCACTGAAAGTCAGAAGCCCAGGGATCCAGAAGTGATTTCCATCTGCCAAGCGACAGTTACATCAACCACCACCACCACAATTATTGAGCATTAACTATGTGCCAGATACTTAGTTTATTTGAATCCTTGCCAAACTTAACCAGGTAGAAACTATTACTATCCCCAAATGACAGAAGACCAACTGTTTGCAAACAAGCATCTTAGTGATAGACCACTGGGCAAGAGTTGACCGGCATGTGAAAAATGTCCAGGTTGCTAATTGTTAACAAAATGCATAGTTAAAGAATTAGATATAAGCTTTTTGGGCTATCCAATTAGCAGTGTTTAAAAATGATAAATTCAGGGGTACCTGGGTGGCTCAGTCAGTTAATCATCTGACTCTTGGTTTCAGCTCAGGTCATGATATCATGGTTGTGAGATAGAGCCCCACGTTGGGCTCCATGCTGGATATGGAGCCTGTTTGGGATTCTCTCTCCTCCCTCCCCTTCCTCTCCCCTGTTCACTGTCTCTCTCTCTCTCTCTCAAAAAAAAAAAAAAAAAAAAAAAGATAAATTCAAGGGTGGCTGGCTGGCTCAGTCAGTGGGGCATGCAACTCTTGATCTCGGGGTTGTGAGTTCAAGCCCCACCTTGGGCATAGAGATTACTTAAGAATAAAATATTTTTGTAAAAAAGATAAATTCAAAGTCAGCCAGGAGTGAAAATGCACTATTAAACACAGGTGGAGAGAGAAGCAGTTGGAAAATTCTGGAGAGCAATTGGGTAGCATGTACCAAAAGTCTTAAAGTTCACAGTGTTTTGTTTTGTTTTGTTTTGTTTTAGCACAACAAAGGAGATAGAAGTTTACTGAATATACCACAATGGAATGGCAGGCAGAACAGCAGAGGAAAGGCTGTCAGGTTCAATGTTTTATATAGTCTTTTTATTCCTAGGCATGAATTCTAAGCAAATAATTGTCAATGACTTCTGAGCAAAGATGTTCACTGCTTTGTTATTTATAATGGTGTAAATCTGACAACCAAATGATGGTATTGTCACAAAATGGAGTATCATGCCGCCATTAAAGGTGATGTTACAGCAATGTCAGCAGGAAATAATTTCTGCAGTAATTATGAATTTTAAAAGGAAAAAGGTACAACAGTGTGCTGGTGAAATAGTATGAACTCAGGCTTACAAAAATGCAGAGAAATAAAAGAAAGGAAGTACACAGAGATGTTCTCAGTAGCCTTAATGTCATGGGATTGTGGATGCCTTTTGTCCACTTATTTACACTTTCCAAAAATTTTTTTTAATTTGTTTTCAATGTTTATTTTTAAATTTTTTTAATGTTTATTTATTTTTGACAGAGAGAGAGAGAGAGAGAGAGAGAGAGAGAGAGAGAGAGATGGAGCATGAGTGGGGGAGGGGCAGAGAGAGAGGGAGACACAGAGTCCGAAACAGGCTCCAGGCTCTGAGCTGTCAGCACAGAGCCCGACGCGGGGCTCGAATTCATGGACCGCGAGATCATGACCTGAGCTGAAGTCAGACGCTCAACTGACTGAGCCACCCAGCTGCCCCCACTTTTCAAATATTTTAAAATGAATTTTATTTATTTATTTATTTACTTACTTACTTATATTTATTTATATATGTATTTATTTTTTGAGAGAGAGAGAGCCTGTGCTAGAGAGGGAGAGGGGTAGAGGGGAGGAGAGAGAAAGAAAATCTTTTTTAAAAAATTTTTTTTTTTCCAACGTTTATTTATTTTTGGGACAGAGAGAGACAGAGCATGAACGGGGGAGGGGCAGAGAGAGAGGGAGACACAGAATCGGAAACAGGCTCCAGGCTCTGAGCCATCAGCCCAGAGCCCGATGCGGGGCTCGAACTCCCGGACCGCGAGATCGTGACCTGGCTGAAGTCGGACGCTCAACCAACTGCGCCACCCAGGCGCCCCGAGAGAGAGAAAATCTTAAGCAGGCCCTACACTCAGCACAGAACCTGATGTGCAGGGTCAATCCCACGACCGTGAAATCATGACCTGAGCCAAAATCAAGGGTCAGATACTCAACCGACTAAGCCACCCAGGCGCCCCTTATTATATTTATAAAGAGAAAACAACAACAAAATTTTAATTATAATTTTTAACAAAAGACAAGTCCACCTCCCATGGGTGGTTCAGCAACAATCTCTTAGAAGAGATGTTCCCAAACTGCTTTGTCAGTGAGAAAACTGCCAGTGAGACTGGGTAGGAACTTTGCACTGTTTGGCTAAAAGAAACATAATAGGAGGATTTAGGTCAGGGTTTCTTAACTTTGGCACTATTGGCTAGATACTAGATAATTCGCTATTCTGGGGGGCTGTCCTGGGCATTACAGGGGGGACAGCAGCACCTCTGGCCTCTGCCCACTAGATGCGAGTAGCAACTGCCCATGCTCCATGTTTGATCACCAAAAATGTGTCCAGACATAGCCAAATGTCCCCTGAGGGACACAATTGCCCCCAGTTAAGACCCCCTGATCTAGCTGACAGGTTCTAGGCTAGCTTAGTCACTGACTCTCTTAGGACTTTAGGAAAGTCACTTCCCCTGGACCTGGGTCGCCCACTTGGCATAACTGTTCTCTGAAGTTTCTTCCAGTTTTGGCTTTTAACAAATTGATAATTGCAAGTGTTACGAGATGAGGGGGTGGGGGAAACGCAATTCTGTTATTTTCAGATTTTGCCAGAAGTTAAAATTCCTGTTTTCTATGAGGCCAGCAAGTTAAACAGATTATTCAGTACAATCCAAATGAGTTTTGCTATAGGAATTGGAATTGGATTTCTTTCTTTAGGTAAATAAAAGAACCTTTGGCTACTTACCAGGATTTAGAACTTGTAGGCAATTTCGATTTCCTGACTGGTCAGCACCTCCAAACACCCAGATGGTATGAGGAGCACAAGAGGGAACAAAGCTGGCATGCTCGTACCGGGGCAGGAGGCCCTCCGAGGTGGCTAAATCCCACCGGTGTGTTCCTAGAAAACATTTCACTCAGTTCCTGCACTGGAACTGCCACTGTAGTTTATGTCAGTTGACAAACTTGGGGGAGAGTAGTGAGGAGAAGAAGTCGAAAGCATAACCACCACAACCATCAGATCACTGGCAGGGAATATGGTCAAATTCCAAAAAGTTCTATAATAGAATTTCGGGAGCTGTCTGCCTAGTCTATAAACCCTCCTCTATGGAAACTGTCCCCATTCTCCCAACCAGAGAGGTAGAGATCCCAGAAGATCTGTTTGTACTACACCTTGACTTTCTAGCTTCAGCTCATTGGGTCAAAGGTAGTTACTTGACCCCAAATGGGTCAATCAGATCTTCCCTCCAGAGAATCTGGAATTCAAACAGATTTCTGGATTTCTTCTTGCATGTATGGAGAAGCAGCTAAAGCCAAAGTATGGAGAAGAGAAAGAAAGAAACATCTACATAAAGAAGACCTTGGGGTTGTGGGAGGGGGGATGGGCGAAATGGGTAAGGGGCACTAAGGAATCTACTCCTGAAATCATTGTTGCACTATATGCTAACTAATTTGGATGTAAATTTAAAAAAATAAAAAATAAAACAAGTTAAAATTAAAAAAAAAGAAAAGAAATACCAAATAACTACAAAAAAAAAAAAAAAAAAAGATCTCCTCAGAGATGAGGGAGGAGGTAGATGATCTCTGACAGTTTTCCAATTCCTGCTTCTACTCTCTCCTGAGTCTAGGCTTTATCTCCTATGTTTAGATTCTTCCCTTTTTTTGCTGGTTTAAGAGAGTTTCTGTTACCTGCAGCTAAATGATTTCTGGCTAAAACAAGCTCACAACTGCTCAGGGAAGTAAGACAGTAGCCCCATTTTATAGGACACTGAAGCCCAAATGGTTTACACAGGTTAACCAGAGTCACAAAGCTAGTAATAATAGGTCACACCAAAAATATAAGTGGACTACACAGCGAGTTTCTTGAGGGCTGGAAGAAATTTTAATTGCCTTTGAATTCCTAGTGCAGGGTGTAGAAATTCAAGTGCCTACATAGGAGGGAACGTGGCAAGTTGGGGGATGAGAACCCCATTTGATAGGCGGGGCAGCTCAGTGCCAAAAATCTGTTGCCATGTAGACATACAGGCCTACTGATGTCAGATCTTCCAAAATCATCAAGAGAAGCCAAACCATCTCAATTTTTATATGTAGACCCTTGTACATTTGGTTGGTAAACAACTTAGATTAAATCAATAATAGCGACTTTGCATGGGCCTAACAAAACACGTATGGGGGTCTGCCATCGTGTAGAGCACATGGTGGTCACCATCCGTTTGTTTTCCATTAATCATCCATCTATCCAAATACTTAGAAAGCACCTACTCTGTGCCAGGTGCTATGGTAGTGGCTGGGGGTACAGTGGTGAGTAATATAACCATGTTCCTTGTTTCCAAAGAGCTTATACTCCTGTGGGGAAGACAGATAAGAAATAATCACACGTGGTAAGAGCTGTGAAGTGGAATAAGGATGGGGAAGTACAGGATACTATGGAAATATAGAGGGTGGTTGTGACATTGTGATTTATATTAAGAAATATATATGTGATCTTGGGGCACCTGGGTAGCTCAGTCGGTTAAACATCCGACTCCTGATTCCGGCTCAGGTCATGATCTCATGGTTTGTGAGATCGAGCCCCACATCTATTGTCAGCACAGAGCCTGCTTGGGATTCTCCCTCTCCCCGTCTCTCTCTCAAAATAAATAAAAAATATAAAAAAGAAAGAAAGGAAGAAAAGAAAGAGAAAGAAGGAAAGAAAGAAAGAAAGAAAGAAAGAAAGAAAGAAAGAAAGAAAGAAAGA